GCACAATCAAATGTGTTTGAAATTAACTCCAATAATAAACATGCATATTAAAATCCTTTTTGTGCCCCTAAACTCCCAATGTTTGTGCCAATATGAGTGCTGGTAATATTGAATTATATTATTTAATTATATATAGAATTAATTTTACAAATCATTAATACAAAGTATTTTACAAATCAGTTGCACTCACTAGTTTCCTGTCTTTTCATAACAAATCAATAAGCCTTGATGCCACTGAGGCATTTAATTCAATAAACTTCCAGAGTCTTTCTGCTTATTCCTAGCATCATTAAGGGACTTATTTCTGGTGTGTATGATATACTGTACCAGCTGGGGTGCTGCATGCAAATGAATTTAAATTGCAAATTAGTTTGACATGAAATATGCAAGCTAGTTTGCCACAGCAATAGGTGTTGTGTAGCACATGGTATGTACCAACAAACAACACGCCTGCAGGAACATTCAAATCTTCTTTCTCTTTCTAATCTCCTCCTCTTTGATCATGATTTCCCAGTAAACAACAAACAGTATGTAATGTTTTCACACAGCTGTGATGCCTTCAGTCATGTAGCTGCTGAATATAAAAGTTGATTGACAAGTTAAATCACAGAGGGGGCTTATTGTCTTAATCTAATTTCCTTGTCACTATTGTCTGTAGCTCCACCATCACAGCAAGAAGACTGTCTGAAAGAAGCCAGTGACAACAAAGAAAACAATAACATTTATTTATTGATTCATAGGTTATACATTTCATGATATAATAGCGATATATTATTATTGGCAAAGATACTATAATCCAATTGCATTTCTATACATAAATACAAAATCTGAGGTAGGGCCTCAAAGATTGATGACATTGAAAATAAATAAATGCATTTCACATATATGATATATATCTTCTTCTTTCTTTTTTTAATCTTTTTTTTTTACATCTCACACATATTTTAAAACATATTTGTTATATATCTACTCTCTATTTTCAAATCAAAGGATGTCATGGGCTGTTGGAGGCACATATCTATATCCATAGGCAGCAGTACCTCACATTAAACACACAGAAATATATGACATTACTCAAGTAATTAGAAATTTAACCTATGCATTCATAGGTCACACAATAAAGTGCCCAAATGACACAACAGACGTAACAATAGGAATACCGGTACCATATGAGACAGACGATAAGCTATTCTGTGGTGTTATTTTTGAAATACATACAATATTCTACCATTAGAGGACATCTATAAGGCCAATGGTTACCTGAAGATGTTGTGTAACGTATTGGCAAACATCGAGGAACACTACATGGGATATGAATGGCAGTATCTCAACCTCCTATACGCAGATGACACATTCCTTTTTTCTTCTAAAGTTTGTTTTTCTGTTTACACTAAAACCCTAGTTAAAGTATTCTTTCTTTGGTTACCTATACTGCCCAAAGTTGACTTGCAGGCAAAGCGAATTGACAGTTACTCTTTTTTTTTGTTTTCGTCTTCCTTCCTCTGTAAGAAGGACAACAGCAACCCTCTGTTTCATCACATTATGTAGAACAAAAAGCTCCCTAAAGTAAACATGCATGGACTTATACTATTGAGAGAGAAAGGACAAGGTTTACTATACATGGACATTGAGTTACAGCAACACAAACTGCACATGCAAGCTCTTCAGTGTTATATTTTATGAAGCAATGTGGTTTTAACTGAACCCTAATTCGATTTTTTTTCTCAAAATAAAAGCAGACGAGCCCAGAAGAAATGGAAACACGGGGACACAAAAGACAAAATTTATAGCTATTTAGTTGCAGCCCTGAAGGAAATCATTAAAATCAATCTCAGGGCATGAAAGGATTTTTATCATTCAAGTCTTACTACAAAGAGTTAAGGTTCAACAACATCCAACACATGATTTGAAATGCCAAACTGCTCCTTTGGCCTACACTGCTCTCAAATGAGCGGTTGCCATGGGATTGAATCTTTTGAAGCTTATCAGTGTTAAAAGTTTGTTTTACCCAGCTCAAGTTCACAAATGTTGGTCTAAGATCCTCACATCCACCACAAATGATAAAGAGGAGCATCAGGCCGAGGCATCCTGGGAAAAAAAAAGCCCTGTAAAATCTCCTCTGCTTCTTTCTCTCAGCAATCTACTCTGAGACTGGCCATGCAAACATCTGACTGACAGTTACATGGAGTTTGGTGAAACTAATACAGAGACGACACACACACACGCACAAGCACACACAGACATACTTGTATTTTTTGATCACATTTGAACAAACAGAGCTAAATGCACTAAGTCTTAACAAAAGCAACACTGTGGAGCAAGCAAGCTATTTAATAACAGGGCTTTTGTGCTCATTAATTGATTATGTTTTGTTTTCAAACCGTAAAACCTCTAAAATCGTATCTGTGCTATTATCATGTCAAGACTATGAAAGGACATGGCTTAGAGAAATAGTTAGGGAGACCCTTAAACTCTGAGCAAATGTTATTGCATCCATACCTGCAACCGCCATTAAAAACACTTAAGCCACTCTGCAGTTAAGGTCCTGCAGTGTTAAAAGCATAATAAAGCCAATCAGGATTTTTTTTTTTCTCGTCAACATGAAAATGCATATCCAACTGACCGAAGCTTGGAAAGGACTAATTGCTTCTAAGTGGAAACATGGTGTTACTTTGAAGGTGATTGGCCGACGGCCCACAGAGTAAAGGCTGGCTGCCTGTCATGTCACATTTAAAAAAGGGCTACAAAGCAAGTCTGAGATTACTCTTACACCCTCCAAGAAACGCGCTTACACTAACTCATTTGTGCTGATGTTCTCTTAACTGCCCGACTTAAAGGGAAATGTTCAATATTACAGTAATTTGACTGATTCTGAAGGATCACAGTGTGAGCAAGGCGACCAGAAAGTTGCTGACAACCTTTCATTTTCTGCATACGCAAAAAAAAACCAACAAAAAAAAGAAACAAAACAAAACAAAAAACAGATCAGTGTATTGACGATTAAGAAACTGGCGAGAAAGCCATTTCAATTTCTAGCTGATTACAAGGCATTCAAAATTAGATTTTTTCATTAATCTTAACTAATCATTGTTTTCGATCTAACTATGTTACAAACATAATGGAAAGCAGGATACTTAATTTAGTGCTGCACACAGTTGGTGAAAACAGCTTAATTCACTTATACATCCTGTATAATAATCGCAAAGGCGCATTTAAGCAGCAGTAAGCAAAACGCAAAGTGTTGCTGCATTGAGGTCATCAGGAAGTAGTGTTTCGATTCTGATCTTCTGCTACACACTTCCATATACTGCTTCCATTATAATTTAGCATTAGGATGGCTCTACTCTCTGTTTCCTATGTACTGAATGCAATTGTTCCTACAACTACCGGAGTAGTCTGATGGAATCAAGTATACCTGAGACCCTGTTTTCATGAGGACACACAGAGAAGCAAAGAGGCATAAGTCTGAAATGGCAAAGAGGTCTCCGGAGCTCTACCACAAACAACAAGAGACAAAGTACACTTCCAGGAAAAGGAGGCGGCCATTTTCTAGTCTAATCTTCATCTACTCACACGTAGCAGCTGCTCCTAATATTGTGAGAACGCAACAACACACACACTTACTACTTGAAGATAGCTTTTTTTTGAGAGGTGTACACTTTGTACAAGATATTACACAGCTAGCAAGAGAAACATGGGGTTAAGAGAGGCACAGAGCACACACACATACACTCTGTCAGCATCTGTCTCGCTAACTCTCTCCTCTGCTGGAGGCAATACATATACATATATATGTATCTATCTATATATATATATAGATATATATATATATATATATACATATATGTATGCATAATAAAATGGTTTCCACAGATCGGTAGACAAGTTCACAACACATACAGTGATAAATACACCATCTAAAATATATCCACGGAGTGACCATCAGGTCAGGCTTCCGAGACTTAAAAAGGTCATCTACTAAAGGAAGGATAGGCTACCCTAGTGGTTTCCTACATTAGGAATGTGCTACTTTATATTCTAGGATAATACAGCAGGAATACGACTTACTAAATAGAGAAAGAGAGAGGGTATCACAAATGGTCCCTCAGGTTCAGAGAGAAAAATAGACCCAAGCCTCTATCGTACTGCAGAGTCATCCAAGGCCAAAGTGTATCTACTGAACGTGGTAATCAGGATGCATTCGCTACTCTACTGGGACGTAGGAGGCACAAATTGCAGATCTTGTAATCTATTTTTGACAAACCAAGAGCGACTGAGCAGTAGCTAGTGTGGATATACATATGTACTGCTGGAGAGGAACAAAATGTGATAACAGTGCTTACTGTGGGGGTTTTTTTCCCTTTTTTCCAAGGCAGTTGATATTATTTGTATCGCCAATGGAATTTTTTACACAGATGGAACAAAATACAGATCCCCGCCGAGCTCGTTCACCCGTTGTTACTCTGTCGTTCAATTTTCTTTTTGTTTTTCCTGTGTCTGCTTTCAGCAAGATGATTCATTATCTTTACACAACCGTATGATGGCACACACACACACACACACACACACAGACACACACACAAACACGCATACACACATGACTCCATAGGGAGCAGCCATGGTGAGTCTAATATTGCAAGTGCAGTCTGAGCTGTGTCATTTTATGGCACAATTTTTCTCTTGGAATAAAGATCCCTGGGAAGGGCTCTGGAGTAATCAGTGGTCATGTGTGGGAGGCAATGATAGCCCATTAATTGAGTACAAAGCAGCAGCGGAGGAGTAGACTCCACCTGGGCAGTCACTCCTCCCTGAGAGAAGAGAGGAAGTGGTGGAGAAAAAGAGGAGGAGAGGGAGCCTGTTTCCACAGGGAAGAGAACAGGAAGCAAAGAGCGGGAGAAAGAGAGAGAGGAGGAGGGAGAAGAAGAGACATTGCCCCCCTCCTCCCAGGTGTCCCCCTGCAGGGGTTGGAAACGGCGGGCGTGGTGCTGGCGGGATGGCTGCTACTGATAGGAGCCGAGCTGGAAGTCCTTTGGGGGCAGTTTGAGGCCCAGGGAGCTGGTTCCCAGAGGGTCCATCATGTTCTTGTAGCGTTCTCCGCGGTGCTTCATCAGGAAAGGACCCCAGTCGGGCTGAGGGGAGCAGACCAGCTTCAGACGCTGCAGAGGGGAGAGGCAACACACAGCAGGTTTACACAGGCAGAGCAGATACATCACGATATCTGTGTATTGATGGGTAGGGGCACAGAAGAAACTAGATCGTTAAAGCTTTTGTGCTCTGTTTTCATACCATCAAAGCCAAACATTTGAAGAACTGAACTAAGCCTCCTCGCGTATATATTGGGTGTTTATTCCTTTAACTTCTGGTTTATGTTTAGTAACAGACAGGCCTCAAATATCTATTAATTGTAGGGATGAAGGTTCGATTTCTGGCATCTTCTGTCCACACTAGAGCAAAACTCTGACAGCCCCAGTTGCTCCCATCCTCATGGCCACAACCTTGGATGACACTGGGTGTAAGAATGTGTGTGTAAGAATGTAAAGTTTGATATACCACTGCTATTTAAATGTAGTCATTTACCATTTATATAAAACTGTACATCATATTTCATTTACTGCTGAGAATTCTTACAGTCCTCCTGTTTGTGCTTCCCTTTTTTCCCTGTCACTGTTAAGGTTGTTCCTCTTGTGTCTACTCTTATGACCCTGAGATGATGTGAAGACTAATTAACGCCATGTACCATGTACCATGTGTGGGATGTGCAGTTGTTTTGAATTAATACCGTACAATATCCCCGTACTTAATAACAAACACGCTGATAATTATATATTCATTACAACTGGGCAAAAAACAGAAATGAAAATGGTGGAGGACAGTCTGTGATTGAGGCCTGTCGTCAGAGCCGCTGAGCGAAGAGAAACATCAGGACAGAAAGCCACAATCATCATCATCCATTAATCTGAGTACAGTATTTAAAAGAGACCCATCAGACTCCCAGAGAAATATCCAAATTAATACGCACCCAGCAGCCCGCCTCTCCCTGCTAATGAGCGAATGATGAGACTATTGATTTCTCTGACAGAGTGTGTGTGGGGGGCAGTGTGTGTGTGTGTGTACGTGTGTGTGCGTGTGTATGTGTGTGTGTGTGTGTGTGTGTGTGTGCATGCGTGCGTGCGCAGGAGACAAAAACAAAACATACGTGAGGCTGTCTCGTCACGGCTTCGTCTCAATTATTACCTCGATTATGGTGCCGGGGGCGAGGTGCATCTTAACTACGAACATGATGGGGATCCAGATGACGGAGCAGATTACCATGAGCCAGCCCAGAACCATGGACCAGGTGGGGTAGGTGTAGTCCTCATACGTCATCACCTTCCACTGGTACAGACTCAGTCCCAGGATGCCCTGCACAGACCAGGGAATCCAAGAAAACGTACTTTAAATGAGACGCCCACTGCCGCAGCGTCACTTCAGCTTCTGTTTACTGGTCTGCTCCACAGGTAAAAAAAAAAAAAGCTGCCAAATGTAGTTGTGTTTGCACATTTATCACTCACAAGGACACGGTTCACTGCAGTGTACAGAGTCAGCAGAGGACAGCCTGTGTAGCTAGAGAGCAAAACCTGTGCATGTTGTGTTGTATGTTTACAACGCAACCTACACATCTACAGCAGATCTGACAGGAGTAGCTATTTCTACATGTGATGAAAAGGTTTTGAAAGAAGTCAAAACTCCAGCAACACAAGCCGTACAGAGAGGAACTTGTATCGAGCTTGTGGCCTTCATCAGGGTCATGGAGCTGAAACACATCACATGCTGGATTTTTTTTTCCTTTTACCTCTTTACACTTTTACCTTTCTCCATGCACCTTGGAAGTAGCTGAAGTTGTGCCAGAAACCTCTACTACGCTTCCACACAAAAATATTTTGAATCATGTAATAATAATAATAATAATAATAATAATAATAATAATAAAATCACTAGTTTCCTTTTGAGGTTCACTGAAAACTGTCGGAGCGTCACTGTTAAGCTGGAGAGAATAACCAAGATGACTCCAACCTTTATCTATCACTTTTTAAATCTTACATACAGGTTTTCCTAATTGGGGTACAACTCTCCCAAGTTTTCTTTATTCCCACAGATAAAAATGCGTTTAAAAAAAATATTCAGGTATCAGCCTGTGGATGTCTACAGATACTCACACTTTGAGTTTTGTTTATTTGTTTTTGGCGTTTTATTCAAATGCTTATTGAAGGACTAGTTAAAAAATTCCGAAGGTTTTGAAGGTAAACTTGAAGAGTTCAATATAAATAATGACAGAAAAATCCACTATCCTACTGAATAATTTGTAACATCTGCATCCTTCAGATTCAATCCTCATCGGTATCAATAAAAAACACAGTTTTTTCTCAAATGGCCAAATTTTCTTTGTTCGACTGCTGCAGCCTGATGCTATTGAGCTGTGTAATGATTTTCTGCACTGACTCTACAACAGATTCTTTTTCTCCAATTAACTGCTCTGATCTCAGGACACATAGCTAAACCTAGTGCACTGTTCCTTATAAAAGAAGAGGTTGGATGATGAAAATGAGACCCTTCTTTTTAACTATGTGTCAAAGCAGAGACAAAAAAAATCCTATCTGTTTCCTATCTTCATAAAGATTTGGCCGAGAATGACTCGAATGAGAAGCAGAAAAGGAAAACAAACAGACAAAGGGAGGCAGACAGAAATAGATTAGCCCGGGGTTGTGCATCAATGAGCTCCCGGAGGAAATCGGATCTCCCTTGAGAGCAGCAGGATGGCCAGCCGGCCTGAGTGCTGCTCCATTTGTCATCGTCACCTCTGCTTCGGAGCTACAGTGCTTTCCACTGGAATTACTAACATTAACAGTTGCTGGTGTCCAACACTGACATGCTGGTAAACACTGTGCATTGGAATCTACAGCTTGTGCTGCACAGCACGGGACAAATAAGTGGCCGTGTTACAGGAAATGTTTTCTCTAGAAATTAATGTATATGTGTGTTTACGGCAGATGAACTGACGTCACACTAACAGTTGTGGGATTGTTGTGAACACAAACAACTTGAGACTTGGTGACATGATAGGAATTGGAAGGGAGAAATAATTTTCTATTTCAGCGTAACAGGAGCAATTTCTCCCCTGTTCCTTTCCAATTGCAAATCAATGAACTTGAGAGGCGACAGTGAAAATGGAAACATTTTAAGCTGCACATGTCAGTGTGTGTCTGTGTGAGTGTGTGAGTGTGTGAGTGTTTGTCAGAGAATGAGATGAGCAAAAACAAACATGCCGTCAGAATAGTTGGAGTCACAAAGGCCCAGCAGATTCTCCAGAATCGGTTTGGCTGGAAACCAATCATCATTTCAATGTCCTCGCAAAATCTCTGCAGACCTGCAAAGAAAAAGAGAAAAAAAAAGAGAAATCAAACAAAAGTAGAGAAACCGGAGAAAGTCAGAAAGAAAGAGACGCAAAGAGTGACCTGGGTTTAATAAGGTCCCTTCAAAAAAGGGATCGGCAAATTCAATCCATCCATATGAGTGTGTGTGTGTGTGTGTGTGTGAGAGAGAGAGAGAGAGAGAGAGAGAGAGAGAGAGAGAGAGAGAGAGAGAGAGAGAGAGAGAGAGAGAGAGAGAGAGAGAGAGAGAGAGAGAGAGAGAGAGAGAGAGAGAGAGAGAGAGAGAGAGAGAGAGAGAGCTAGATAGGGAGAGAGTATCAGTTTTGTCGTCCCTGAGAATAGGCGAGGGAGCAGATGGGTTTCATTCCTCTGCCTTTATTGACGGATAACAGTGACTGACATGAAGAGGCAGAGTCACAAAATCATTTCAATATGTCGCCTGTACTGATGCTCTGACAAAACTGAAGGGGAGCCGCTCGCTGTGCTCCTTGGTAACATCCTCCTGACACACACCTGAGCTCTCTGGCTGCGTGCGAGACTTACACATTACGACAGAGACACCTAGTGGTCACGGTCGGAAATAACAGTTTGTACGCAGCAGAGGGAGGGATGTGAGGAGGATCAGCCCCTTTTTACACAGACAAAATCAACTTGTTGTGTGCTTAGGTGTTTCAAATGTTTTCTGTTGAAGCAGTTGCAGCCAGTTTAAAGGTCGCATATTGTATATATCATAAAGAGAATATTATATTATATTATAAACTTATGTTGTGAATTGGCGCTATACAAATAAAAATTGACTTGACTTGACTGTAAAAGTAGATGTCCATGTGTTGTTTGATTACAGATCAGGTCTAGGTTCTATATTAATACTGTGAAAGTATCAAAGCCTCAGTCCACAGAGAAATGCACACAGCCTGTATTCAGAAACTGAGCCTTAAAACGAACTATCAGGATTTCTGTAACTTTGTGATGTCACAACAAAGCAGTCACCGCTCTCAGCCATGCCCCAAGCCCCGCCCACTTACCAACCATCCAGCCTGGCAGGTTTTGGTTTCTCTGAGTGTTTCCCTGAAATCTGCTATATTTTTATCGGATCATTCAGAAAACAGTCGGCCAATCAGAAGAGAGTTCTCAGAGCCCATGAAAACGGTTCTATCATGTCTACTGTGGCTCTACAGGAGCTTTAGCAAGTCTAGGAAAATGACTCAGGCGACATCACTCAGGTAGCTCAGTTTGAGCTTGAGTGATGTGACTACAAACTTTCGAACAGTAAATCTGCATCAGAAACTCGGGGTGTGGAGTTTGAAAACAGATTTAACCTAGACTGGAAAATCCATTCTTTCTTTTTAATGTGAGTTTCTATATTTATTACTTTTATGTATTAGACTAACAGTAGTATCAAGGCTGCACAGCCATCGTCCCTGTTGTCCCAAATCTCTCTACATAAATAAAGTGGTCCAATCCTCTCCAACTGCAAAAATCAAAACTAGATTATCCTTTCAAGATCAAATCAACATATTTTTGTCTCCCCCTGTCTCGATTGCTGCAATTCACTTCCCTGAATCACTCTTCTGTGTCTCAGCGCCACTTGGTCCATAACGAGGTCGCACAGTGCCGGCCAGTCTACACTGTTTACCCACAGAGCAACACATTCATTTTAAAATTCTTTCAATTACCTATAAAGCACTACAAGGGCTGGCCCCTCTGTTTAATTCTGAATTACTGAGTCCACTGATCCAATGCCTTTCAGTCGTCCTGAGATCTAGGCTTAAAACCAAAGGTGACCGTGCCCCCACCCTCTGAAACTGTCTTACCTTAGATATAAAAAATGCTGACTGAGTCGACAGTTTTAAGAAGCTGTTAGAAACTCCCCTGTTTCATATGTACTTTATGTCATAACGCACTTTACCCTGTAATGTGTGATTGCCCACTTTTATTCTTTTTATTGTTTTGATATTGTTACCTCCTGTTTTTTAATTATGTATGTCTTAAATGTTTCCACTGCACACCACATTGTTTCCAAAGGTCCACAGGTTTCCAAAAGTCCTTTATAAATTTAGGTTTACTTACAATGAATTGTTTCTGCAAAGCAAATTTGTTTTGGGATAATAATAGAGTTGATATTTCCTGTAGTGTACACAGGAAGCCCAAAATATCAGGTTTGCACACAATACATCCCAGTAAATAAGAGGTAGACTGCCATGACATTTACTGAGCACATGCTCATGCCCCTCAGAGAAATAAAAGAGTAACTTTACACCCCCTGACATCTTGTTTGCTGACCCCCGGTAGTTTAACTTCTCACTTGATGCAGTGATGTAGAGGTATACTCCAGGACACTGTGACATCACTGCAGGATGTGGTTACAGGTACAAGAAACCCCACGTCTCACTACGCCCAGCAGAAAAAAAGGCTGTAAAGTTTCAAACAGAGAAGGAGGTGAAACACTGCTTTTAAGCTTTCTGATTTTAGTGACCGTGTGACCTTCCCTCTAATGTCACCCTCAGGACTCCTGCAAGAACATAAGAGGAAGAATTGCAGGAACAACACTGTGGGATGTAACGAACATTACAGCCTCTGGTGGGCCACTAACGGGGCTTCAGATGTCTCGTTGACCAAAGGTCATGAGATCAAACAGGATCAGCTGTACTCACCATAGAGGTAGGAAATCCCCACCAGCTCGAAGATAGCGATGATGACCAAAGAGTAGGAGGCGGCAAACGTATCCACCAACTGCAGCATGTACATCCCACTCTGTCACGAGCACACACACACACACACACATACACGCACAAACAAAACATTACAAAAACGATTCAATGCTCCATCGTACCCCTCCCCTCCTCCCTCATTTTCTTCCACCTCTGACTTGTCCGTGGCCATATCTTTCACACTGACTTGTACCGGATCATAAGAAATGACATGGATGAATCCTTCTTTAGGCTGGATTTCGCCTCTGAAGCTGTCTGTGGGGATTTTAAAAAACTCAGCCTTTCTTGTTCCACTCACCGACTCTGTCCTCTGAAGGCTGCGACTTCACTGTACATGCAGAGAATCTCTCAGCTTATTCAAAGAAAGAGTCGCGGGGCACGGGGAGAATGCTCAAGTGTCCCCCCGCGGTGCGACACCAGGGAGTAAATACAGTAGATTCAGTGCGTTTCTGTGTCCGTGCCGTACCTCTGTGATCATGGGGAAGCCCAGGATGAAGAAGGAGGCACAGCAGACCAGGGTGAAGAGTGGTTTGTGTTTCCTCAAGTATTTGGGGTACTCATCCGACACTGAGGTTACGATGGTCTCGATGGTGGCAAACTGGGAGGAAAAAGAGAGACAGGAAAATGTGAGGAGAGGGGAGGGAGGTGGGGATAAAGTTTAATCACATGTTTGATGATCAATGCAACAATCAAGACATTGCATGTTTGATTTTGTCTGAAAAATTAAATTAAATTATTTTAAATTCAGTTTTACAAAAAAAAAGCAGTAAATGCAGTTACAGGATGACCCCTGATTGGCTGTCTCCACTGCAGAATTACAGAAAATTGTCCAATCAGGCCAGTTTGCAGCAGCGTTTCCACTCTAAAGCCTCCAGTCAGCAGGTTTACCTGATTTGAATCAGAGCAGCTGCTGCTGTCAGCAACTTCAGCATCCAGTGTTGTGTGGCATTCGTCTTCAATTCATCCAATAAACACATTTTAACGTGATTATTTATTTATTTCCAAAACAAATAAAGAACATTATTCTGATGCTGAGCAAGAGAAGATTTGAAAACAAATTAGTATGAAGAATTTAGGCGACAGTGGAGGGACCTGACAGGTGGAGTCTGTCTGGAGACGAACAAATGCAACATGATGGTAAAAGGGGCTGAGAGCCCAGAGGACAGCAGCGGATGAATATATAAACAGGCAAATTGAGGGAGGTTGGTATAGTGTGTGTGGGTGTGTGTGTGTGTGTGTGCGATAGAAACCCACTGGCACCGAGTTATCTGCCACTTCTACGCTCTTCTCCTTCCTGCTGAACCCCCAAAACTAATTTCCCGTCAACATCCCAAGCCTATTACCGCCGAGCTGCTTCCTACAACAAAGCCACCAGCTCGCTCCTCTGAGCTGCCGCTGCCAAGGCAAAGTAACATCATCATTTACTGCCACTGTTGACTTGTGTCTTAATGTGCCGCTGTGCCCTCTGCTCAGCTCAGGATCACCACGGAGCACTTGAAGGAGTTGATGTTTTATATGGAATTGTTTGCCGAGGATTGTACCTGGAGATGCTCTGGACTTTAAAAACAACTCGGGGACTGACGTGTCTGTTGGCTGAAGTTACATCAGGAAGGAGTCGGAGCAGTAGCTGTCACAGTTAGGAGCTTTATACGTCAGAGCTGTAGTGGTGCATGGGTTGTACTGAAAATTAGTCTATTTAAAGCTACATTAGCTGTTTTTTTGGCTGCGTGAGGGCAGCAAAACTACCTAAAAAAATGTAAGTTATTATAGCAAACTATAGGCAAGTTACTATGGCAACTACCAATATTCACTCTCTTATTATCTCCAATTTGGTGTCTACCAACTCCTGAGGAAAAAATCTGACTCTATAGCTGCTAAATGCTCCAAGTTATTCATTAGCTGATTGCTAACTTTGTCTGTTTGTTGTTTTTAGAAGCGTACAGTGATAATTAATTATAGTCAAACACTGTAAAAGTCTATAAATATTGTGGTGGCAAACTCAAGCCTCTATACATGCCTCCAGTCTCAGTGACCTTTCCACTATTAACTAATCTACATTATTTTTGTGATTGTTGAGTCGATAAAATGTCAGAAAATACAGAAAAAAGTCCAAGGTGATGTCGTCAAATACTGGAACCACATTATTCAAATGTTCTTTAATTGTACTTAAACTTAGAGTTACTTCAGTGTTGTTGTTCCAAATCTTTAAGGTCAACTTAGTTGTTTCACTCACTCCAATCACACAGACCCCCCTCTGCTCAAGTACCTGGAGAGCTCGAACACTTTTGCTGAAATCAGTTGCAGCGGGTGGTGTGTTTGAGTTATTATGTTAATTGGGTCAATGTGTGCAGCGTTTATACATAGCTGGATGGCGCTACCAAGTTGAGTGTTTACTCTGGAACAAACTAAAGTCAAGAGACTCGTGTTTCTGACAGAAAGATTGATGTTGATGTTGTGAAACTTGCAGGTCTTCACCAACGGAAACACAGACTGTTTGGTGTTGCAGTCACAACAGGAAATGTTTTCCCACAATCAGCATCCAAAGTGAAAGTACAGATGCTTTTTAGAAATGCAAATTGATGACAGACACTCATTTGTATGAATTCATTGTCTAAATTCATTACTTTATTCTGATCTGAGACTACACTAAACATGTAAGCAGAGAAAACCAAAAACAAAAAGCTCCACTAATGAATATGATATTTACACTGAATCAAATGGCCACCTGAATGAGGTGCAATGATGGACCCTAAGAGAATCGTCAACAATTCTGCTATTCCACTGATATTCTAAGCCTCTGTCAGCTCATTGTTTTTGGTTGTATGGCACATTTAAGTTTGTCTCAGTCTTAGTGCTCTTATCATCCTCACTTCCTCCAGCTGTTTTTAGCAGAAAATGCACCAATAATCCCAGGTTAAGGTAGATGGAAACACACAGATCTGAAGACAGTGAGTTTTTCTGCTGCCAAGTGGGAAAAGAGGTTTGTTTTCTTCCCTTGTCCAGATTGAGATGAGAAAATTGATATGACTTTCATGCACTACAGAGCAGAGTCTGGTCGGTGTTTAGCCTCGCTTAGAACAAAGACTGAACCTGCTAGCCTCGCTCCATCAAAGGTTTAACATGTATTGTAGGTTCAGGAGTCATTAGCGTTAGCACTGGAGCTATTGCTTGACAAACTGCCACTGGATGTTGTAACTATGTGCAGCATCAGTCCAGTTCTGAGTTTCCAAAATAGCAGGAACAAACCCAGCTGACTTGGAGGGTTTAGTGGGTAGCTAGCATTGTAGCTAACAAGACATAGCATGTAAATAAAAACACTTTAGAGGCGTTGAAAGGATTTTTTGTTCTTTTTAACAGAGCTGCTTCCTGTCTTTGAGCTAAGTCAGGATGATCACATCCTGGATTTCCTCATTTATTCTGATTAAAACGACCAACACGTTCGTTTACAATGATTTTTCTTTACAAGCCGAATTCCTGAACGTCACATTGTGGTTTTTAAACCTTATAGAGGTGAAGCAGTAAAATAAATAAATGTAAAATAAATGTAAAATAATCTTTGCCCTTAAAGATTTGCCCTCATCATTATTATAAGGACAAATGAGGCACATAAAAGTAGAAAGACAACAATACAAACACACACACACACACACACACACACACATATTAAAGGAGCAGTAGTTACCATAGTATCAAGGCCAAGAGTCAGGAGCATGAGGAAGAAGATGATGGCCCAGAATGGAGACAGAGGAAGTCTGGTCAGAGCCTCTGGATACACCACGAACGCTATGCCTGGACCTGAAACACACACACACGCACACACGCACACGCACACACATTTATATAGAAATAGAAATGCACATACACTGTCTCTACCTCAGGTAAAAAGATTAAACGTGTTCAGGTGCGTCTCAGTGAGCAGCGCCGGCCTGCTGCTTCTGCCTGCTGGTCTGGTGTCTTACCTTCATCCGCCACCTTCTCTATCGGCACCTTCAGCTCATGTGCCATGAAACCAATGACTGAGAAGATGACAAACCCAGCAAATATACTGGTGGCACTGTTTGTACATGTCACAATAATAGTGTCCCTGCAGGGGAAAAGAGGAAAGAGACAAGAGAGAGTCTAAATAAGTGAACATCTCCTTTAGTTTCCGCAAGACTGCTGTAATCTTTAAAACATGATATAATTATTAAATGATATTATGCTCTTCTTTATTTAATACAGGACATTGCTGTCTCGTGTGCACACAGATAAGAGATACAACAGTGCCCTCTGGTGTTGGGAATAAAAACTGTCTGCTCTAAAAAGGCATTTACAGAAGGTGTACACGTACTTCATGTTGTTAAATGATTCTCTTCTTCTGCTGCCGCCTCAAAACTAGGGTTCAGTCAACATGTGTCAGACACAGTCAACAAAAAAGGAAATGAAGGATTTTTTAAAAATACTATTTGTTTTATTGTATGTTCATGTACAATGTACTGCTGTATGAGGGATGTCTGTGTGTGTGTATTTAGTGGGGGCTTTCCTGAAAGTATTCTTGTAGCTGTACCTGTGCACTCGACTGGAATTTGTTTCCAGAAAAATATCAATAAATACAAAGTCACAGAGGACGGGGTCGATTTTGTTATATTTATATACATTTCCTAAAACAATGTTCTATATGACTGTGAATGTTTCAGATAAAAAAAAAAGCATCCACTGTAGATGTTTTTCCCACAAACTGTGAAAGTGTTTCAGGTGTTTCAGCTGTGTGTTTTTACATGAGTAAAATCATCTGATCTGGTCTGACAACACGATTTAAATCATGAAATCAACCAACACTTACAACATAAGCATAAACTGCAGAATTTATGATCCGATCACTATGACAAAACAGCTGTTCAGTTTTCCTTAAACTACTGTAAAACTGTATATTCTTACGTTCATATGTAATGTCTTAGTCTTTACATCAGACAGACATTTAACAGCTACACTTAAAAAAATCTGAAAACTGTTATAGTCTCCTGTTGTTTCAAAACAACAGTCTTGAGTGTTACAGTGTCACTGACAAAGACAAGCTGATACTGAGCCTCAGCCGAGCTTCAAATCTGCACATAAAGCTGGTGGCACACAGTGGCCCCTAATGTCAACCAGAGAAAATAAAGAAACGCTGAACTGCCGGCTGCAAACAGGTCCATTTATTATCCACATACAGGTCTACAGTAGCATCATGTGTCTGTGGTGACAGTTTGAATTTGTCTGCCAGAAGCATAGTTTACCTTTTGTGTGTTTACCTGTAGCAGTTATTGTGGAACTTATTGTAAGAAGAGAGAGTGATGAGGCCTCCCCAGGCGGCCGACAGAGAGAAGAAGATCTGAGTGGCTGCGTCTTTCCACACCTGACAGAGGGAGAGGGGAGAGAGCTTCTGGTAAAGAGCAGGAAAAAGGAAAAGCTTTTTTGATGCTGTTTATGGAGCCAAGTGAGCAAACATCAGGCACCTTGGCATCATTGAGTTTCTCCCATTTTGGCGTGATGAAGTAGAGGATGCCGTCGCCGGCACCGGGGAGGGTCACTCCTCTGATCAGCAGGATGACCAGCACCACGTAGGGAAATGTGGCGGTGAAATAAACCACCTGAGCAGAGAGGGGACAAGATGAGATGATAACTAACAGTAAAAAACACTTTAAATCAGTAAATCAGGTGATGCTGAATAAAATTCAGTTTTTTGCCATTTTAAAACATAATTCTAAAAGTGTCACAGACTCACTACTTCTGTACTAAACAACATTTCTTAGGCAGTATGTTTTTGAGAGATTATTTCCTGCAGGTGCCAGCTACCTGAAATAACCAGCAAGAAATGCCCCAAATTTACATGATCTCTCTCACAGGAACCGTTCCTTCCAGGTTTGATGTGTTGCATGTCGCCTCTGTGACCACTAGAGGGCAACACGATACAAGAATATGATCTGAATTTTCTCCGGCTCCTGGAGGCATTCGCTTCCAAGAAACACGTTTCCTCCACTAAGTTGCGTTTCCTCCAATTAAGAGGAGAATCCCCAAAGTGCCAATGAAAGATGGCTGCCACATGAAGTGATATTCAGTTCCAATTTTGAATGAAGCCATGGCAGTAATCTTCCACTCTCTCTGTATTTTTTTCCTCCCAACAAGAGAATTAAAATGCTCCTGGTGGTGAATCCCAACACCCACCGCTGCTCTGACACTGAGGTCCTGCTAAAGGCAAAGAACCCTTCCTATATTCGTATTTTTTAAAAATGCCTATGAACATTAATTTAAAGGTAAGACTGGAGATAGACTGAAGACTGATGATAAGAATCATCTACTTAAGTTGCCTTTACATTCACATCTACTTTATATTTAAAGGCATAAATCAAATATTGATATTTTCATGACGTTTTTCCAGTTACGTTACATCTAAAACCTATTTGAGTTTCTGTCTATTTTCTTATTTTAGATCTGGATCTGAGAGTGAACCAGTTATCAGAACTTGAAGCTGTTTGATTTAAACACCTGCAGATCTCACTTCCTGTATGTCACACATTTCATCACTAGGTGGCACTTTCATCACTGAGGGGAAAACTGAACACACCTCCAAGTTTCCCTTCTGCAGCTGGTGACAAAGGTGCAAACAGCAGAGACGAGAGGATTAGTTTATGGAGTCTTTGCGATGTGTTACCTTCCCTGATGACTTGATTCCTTTGGCTAAAGAAGCGTAGACGATGATCCAGGCCAGGAAGAGGCAGCCTGCCAGAGGCCAGCGAATGTCTCCTGGAAATTCAATCCCTTTAGAGATGTGCAACACATTGTACCTGCAGGAGTGATTCAAACAGCAAAACTCAGCCTGAAAACTACAAACACTATACACATAAAAAATATAAACCTGCATGCTGCAAAGCCTTTTTAGAAAGCCTTTATTACTGAAACATACAAGTCTTAAGACTAAATCTGTTTCCAAAACAAATCAACTGGATTAATTTTTTTTAATTAAATTTTTTTTTTCTCAATTTTCTTAATTCTAGTGCAGATGAATGACTTATTCTGTCTTGTTTTAAGACACTGACACTCATTTATAGTTGTATGTGTTTTGCATTTTGTCCTGGAGATGTAGTATCTGTTCTTTTCACTGGAAATCAACTTTACACTTGTTTTAAAAAAAGAAGATTTGGGTTGAAAGAGTTTTAAAACTGATTTTTTTTTTTTTGTATGTGTGTGTTAAATATAAGATTTAGTGGTCCTCTTGGAGACCCCAAAATTTTGTCCCTGTGAACTTTTTGCCACTGCCAGAAGTCAAACATCTGCATGAGATGGGAAATTATATGATTATTCTCATCTGTGGACATAAAAAACCAAATTGTACAGGTCTAATTTTTGTTTCTATACAATTTAACTTCTGCTGTTTGTTGCCAGTCAGAGGATCAACTCACTTGAAGTATTCCTCACTGGGGCTGACGTAGGTCTTGTTGCCGTCCACAGTCATGTTTAACAGTTTGGTCAGGTTCCCCACAGTATTTGCGGATAGACAGAAAGAGGAGTTCTTGATGGAGGTGATGTTTCTGTCTCGCAGGATGCACGAGTCTGTTCCAATCAGAAAGCAACACACGTCAGCGGTGAGAGAGACTGGCAGAGTGCAGCTGTGGGACAGACTTCACTGTCCACTCAGGTTTTCACACTGAAAGCAAAGTGGGAGTGAACAGATGGATCTGATTTATAGAAAGGAGGATTGACAGGAGGCTGCTGCAGCAGTGTGTGCAGCGTGGAGCCTCAGTGGGAGCCGGAGTAGACTTAGCTCTTCTAGATACACAGCACAAATATGCATAATGAAAATGATTCTCTGCCTCATTTCAGATGCTTAGATAGAAAAAAACCTGCCCTGCTTTTGCCTGCACAAAAAAATCAGGTCAAAATAGATAAAATTGCTTTTTATATGACTCATATTTGTTATACTGTGAAAATGTTAATGCTGCTTTGTGCTCACAAAACTCTGCTCTACATTCAAGACAAAAGACTTTATTAAATCAATACTGAGAATAACATCCGACACAGAAGTAACCCGGTTACTCAGTGACAGAGAAAGACAGATGTTTCTGCAGCTGGACAAAATAACACAAACACTTGAATCTGGTAGGACACATGGCCTCAGAACATGGTCTTGAAAATAACCACATAGATAAAGATACTGTTGAAATACAAATGTAAGATTATAGAGTGCACAAAATGCATTATTTGCAGGGCCTGTGCATCAAATTGCAAAGATCTCCACATAATTTTATCCAACCCCACTACATGTGCAAAATATATTAATATATTACAGTTTGCATAATTCATCTAATTCCTGTTCTTTTATTAATAAATTTTAAGATACTTGTGATGCAGATTTTTCTTACTGCTTATATCGTTATTTTCCTCATTCATAAGATTGAGAGAGAGAGAGAGAGAGAGAGAGAGAGAGAGAGAGAGAGAGAGAGTGGCAGAGGGACCACAGTGTTGAGTGGGCCTGTAGTTGCAGGCGCAGCCAGCAGGGGTCAGTCTCGGGCTCACTGCAGCACTGCAGCAGCTCGGTCTGTACAGTAAATTTGTCAAGCAAGCAGTTTTTTGTGCTGAATTCACAGAATCGCTAAAGGCAAAATTTTACACAGAATGAGCGGGATTTCGGTATTTATTCGACGCAGATCGACGTAAAGCGCCTCCGAGTCCCTTCCCGCGCATTTTCTCACAGTCAAAACATGATTTTATCTAGTGTCATTAAGATCAGACCAATACAGACTGATCCAGCTGTACACAGCAGCTTTTAAACATAAAACACTGCTGTAATCATGTCATCAAGTCATTATCACACGAAATAAGAATCGAAAATATATAAAAATGTTTGTCTCCGAGTTGAGGCCCTGCTCACATGTCACTGGCCTCTGCAAACACATAAATGACGTGCTCTGAATTTAAAGCGTCTGAGGGTGAAAACACCGCAGAGATCACAGGTCAGGATTCATTATAGTGCAGGACACCTCAGCTGAGGGAGTCATGACGCATTGCGCATGGTCCGAAGAGAGAGGGGTGCTTTTAGTGTGTGTGAGTGTGTGTGTGTGTGTGTGTGTGTGTGTGTGTGTGTGTGTGTGTGTGTGTGTGTGTGTGTCTTACCTAACAGCAGCATGTCTTTGTCCTTACATTCCACCGTGTTCCACTCATTCCTACAGTTAGCCCATGGCAGTGAGCCCTTCAACGAAGCGAACAGGTAGTACAGTGTCCAGCACATTATAATATTATAGTATATGGCTATCAAGACAGATATTATCAACATGGCAATCCCGCAACCTAAAATAAATAAATGAGACGAAATATATAAATTACTCTTAAGAAAAAGTAGAGAAGTCTTCATGAGAAGAAATGAGTTTTTTATTTGTGAATTGTCCTTCAGTGGATTAGCTGTGCCAGTTTACCTTGTAGGGCTGGGATGCATTTCCACACTGACACGGGGCCCTGGCTGGCAAACTGGCCCAGGGAAACCTCCAGCAAAAAGATTGGGATCCCGGCAATGCCCAGCATTGTCAGATAGGGGATCAAAAAAGCTCCTGCAAGGAAATTAAACAGCAGGCTACAGAGCGCAGCTTACAGAGCCACAGGAAGACTGTCTAAAAATCAAATGAACATGAATACACATGTGGGCTGCACACATCTCATCTGCTGATATTTAAACAACACACAGTCCGGATCATTACGCTGATTAATGAATAAAAATTATCTTTACATGGCTTCGAGCAAATAATGATATTAATAGGCTAATAATAATAATAATAATAATAAAATATGTAATACAAATAATAATAATAATAACCACATTTTTCACAGTTTTCTTGGTGATTTAAATACAGTATTTTTGTGCAGTTTTCTTTCTATTATTTCTCTTATTTTTCTGTCTTATTTCTATCTTATTTATTTTCATTATATTTTTCGTAGGCTGGTTAAAGGCCTTCAATGACTTCTGGGATATACATTACAAATATCTCAGCAGAAGAAATAAGAAATAATTCAAGTCTGATTTATAAAGAGGCAAAAAAAAAATCGATTTTTTTAAAACAGATTTTTTGTTTGTTTGTCAGGAATTAAAGCCACTGGCCCTGAACTCTTACCTCCACCATTTTGGAAGGCAAGATAAGGGAACCTCCACACGTTCCCCAGTCCCACCGCATAGCCAACCATGGACAGAATAAAATCCAGTTTATTTGACCAGTTTCCTCTGGCCTTATTCTCATCTCCCCCATCGTCATCATCGTCAGCCTGAGAGGAAGAAACACTCATTCATTCTCCAAAATAAAAACCACCAGCCTGGTGACAATAGACTCCAAGTTCAATCGTTAGGGAAAATAAAAGAACATAAAATATGAGAAGATGAGCAATAATCTTCAGTCAACACCCAACAACATTTTTTTTTTATCCTTCTTGTTCATTTTGTTTTACGGTTAGAGAAGCTTTCGTCAATCAGAGTTCAGCAGCTTTCCAAAGACAAGCCTGTATATGAAACTCATGTTGATCTGCACTTACAGGCCAAAGCGCCTGAAATTACATCCAACAATCCAAAAGAGGCGCTTAAAAGAAATGGAAGCAAATACTAACTAAATAATTACAACTGCACCACTGGATCCTTTTAAATTCACACAAGAGCCTGCATGGAGATTCACATAAATAAACGCCGTGCATGGGAATGTGTGCACGTGTGGTGGGGGTGGGGGTGGGGGGGTGGTTTCCCCGCGGGGTTTGGAAGCAATCCGCAGTCCCATGTAACACAGTGCTGTCTATCAGCCGGATAACACCTGGGCTTCTGGGCCGTACCAAGTGTTTCTGCCGGGAGCAGCAGGGAACGCCGAAAATACCGCGAGAGTTTGATTTAATCATCATCTTTAAGCGTGTGACCAAAAATTAAATAAATAAATAAAGCTGAACAATCACCCGGAAATTGGTTTATTAGCTACATCTACAAAGACAAATAGTTTCATTTAGGAGGAATGTTTCATCTGATCTGATCATCCATCACACTCATTTAATAATCACAGGCTTCCTCCGTGTTTTGTTCTCCCGGATATTTAGCTGACATCAGCGGGTTTGAAAGTTTTGACGGCGCATCAGATTGGTGCAGAGGGACCAGGACTCGAGGCTGCGCACAGCAGGGACGCCAAATAGTTCAGAGTCCCCCCCAAAAATAACCTACTGCTCATTACATGCCAGGATTCAGCCTTTGCAGCTTGGGTATTAGTTTTTAGGTTGGTTCTACACAATTTATCAACACATTAATTCAGCAGTCTGTGTTTAAATGAACCACCACCATGTGGCTTTATGGGAATTTAAATACAGCCTGAATCACAAAGAGATAATTGAATCAGAGGCCACAGTGTTTTTAGATTGTTAAATATCAATTATTTCTACACATCCTGATATGAAGGACCGGCCTCTTCATGCTCCTTTTTTAGGCCATAATCCGAATATCAAGCCACAAGCATCCACTGATTCAGCTCGGAAGTTATCGGACAACACAGGAACATTTTTAAGCACATCTGTGCAGCCACAAACCCACAGACCACCGCCTGGAAAAGCACTTTTTTTTTTTAGAGGCGATCACATTACAGCTCAGCAGCAGCTCATCACACATCAGCAGCACTGATCTACTGAAGCTCTGCATGGCGGTGAGAGCTCCCAGGGGTGTGCACCTTCCCTGTGTGGAGACAGCAGGTTCATCCAGTCAGCTGTCTTATCAGCGACACACGGAAACATCCACACCGCACCCGCTTCCAGACCAACCGCTCTCCGTTAAAGAAACGGTTCATTTAGCTGACTTACCCCCGCCACGGTGCCGGGCTGAACAGACGTGTTCCCATCTGTTCCCAGTATGATGGTGGTCTGGCTCATAGCCGTCCAGTTGCCCGCGGTGTTGTTCTGCTCTGCGGTGGCCCGCAGCGGGTCGCCGTACTGGGCGGACCCCCCGCGGGCCGAACAGGCGGAATCCTTCCTAAAGGCCGAGTTGGTGGCCACGGATCCAGGGACAGCCGGTGGGGTGCTTTTAAACGTCCCATACGCTTTATTAGCGTCCGGTTCTCCCGGGTTATTTTCCGTGGGACAAAAAGTTTTGTTCTCGTTGCACGGCGGCGGTTGAGGCGCCGGGTGATGGTGAGGGGCGGGCGGCGGGCACGGAGCAGAGTTGTCCGGTTTGTTTGCTGTAAGTCCCGCAGCTCCGTCGGACTGCTGCGCCGGGATGTAGCCGGTAGGCGCGCTGGCGCTGGCCGGTTGTTTGGCCATGTCTCTCTGGTCAGAGAAATCCTGGAACATGGGAGTGACAAATCAGCAAGACAAAAGGCGGCAGAGCGACAGACAGCGTGAGGCTGGGAGGCTGCTGCAGCCCATCTCTGCTCTGGGACTAAAAATGCTCAATTCTCTTTCTGCAACGTTTTTCTGCAGCATGTTCTGGCTCTGGCTGCTCTATAGTTTCAGCTCACAGTCTACCGGGTGTGCTGGTGTGTGTTTGCGTGTGTGTCTGTGTGTGTGTGTGTGTGTAGGGGGGGGGGGGGGGTGTTGGAGGGAGGGGGGTTGCTGTGCTTCTCCAGTTCTCGCTTTCTGCAAGATTCTTTAATTTTACGCCCCATTTCCCCCTCATGTCATTCAGCCACACACATCCACTGATTTTTATGGGCAATAGACAAGCTGCTGCGGGTCTCTCGGTGGCTCCGCTCTCCCCGGCAGGCATGCAAGATCACCGGCGTTACAGCAGTGAGCGGACCCGAGGCGGCGGAATTACAAATGATTCCCTTAAATTTAGCTTTGAGGGGGCGGGAGAGCAACCAGAAAAGCCTCCAGACTCTAAAAAAAAGAATGGTGGTTATTTAAAAAAAAAAAAAAGACGCTCTTGATTGATTAATGCTTAGTTTTGCTGTTAATTAGTGGGAAAATAACGAAGTAACTGCACCTGCCTGTATAATGGATTCTGTTTAAACAGAAAACGAATAACCTAAATAAGAAATTAGGAAATGAGGTAAAATGGATTAAATTTAAACTTTGACACATTCAAACTTTTTAAAAAGCCAGATTAAAGGATTTTACAGGATAAAAAACAGTTAGATTGGTGACGGGATGAAGTGAAGAAAGTTTGTAATGTGGAGACACAGCTGCATTTCAGCACCACGGACAGCGCAACTAACCCAACGTGCCAAACTGCCTTTAAAAAAAAAGGGTGAAAATAACAAGAAACTAGCTGAGAACAAGTTCCTAAAACAGATGAAAGTGCAGGTGGAAAAGTAAAGAAAGAGTTTTCGGACACTCACCATGTTTTTTTGCAAAGCTCTGCTGGCAGGCTGGAAACAGCTGTAAAAAGACGAGGAGAGGACTGGAAGCGGACTGGCTGTAGCCGCGCAAAGCACCAAGTGCAAAGCTTTTCTATGGCTCCGTGGGAAAGAGCGGAGTTTGCGTCAGTGCAGAGCAAGGTGCCCTTCGCGTGACATTTTCTTGATAATAGGAGTTTGATAAATCATTGGCCTTGGATTCGGATTTTTAAAGGGACAACCGAAGCCAAAGACGACGGGGGCGCGTGTGTGCGTGCGTTCTGATTACGCACGGTGCATGCGTGAGCGCTGGACGGAACTCTTTCAAAGCTGATTAATACACTTGTCTCTAGGGATGTGTAGGATGCTCACACACCTACACACACACACACACATACACACACGGACGCATCACACAACACAGGTCGTTAGGGTTAAATATTTCCGGGTTTAGGCGAATACTGGAGAGGATCTCACTGCTACATCACAGTGCACGCGGGTGTAAATTATAGGTAGCCTATTTGCACTGTGCTGAGTCGTGTTTCTCTGGTACAGTTACAATTACAGTAACCACTCCTGGGAAAGAGGTATCTGCTGTCCACATGATTCTTGGTCTCATAGAAAAAATTTGTTCTTTCCGTCATCGACATTTAGGCCTAAAAATGCAGAAAGTAGACAAAAGAGAAAGTTAGATTTTAAAAGTGACTATTTCAATGATTATATATAGAAGACAAGGCTGGCGTTATTTATGTATAAATATTTGGTTATAGTAAGCTACACAGACATACCATGACGCAAATTTCATTGTAGGAAGTTGTAGAAGTAAAATTGATAGTTAAAGACGAGGAGCTAAAAATGGTCTGAGCTATAAATAGTTTTTCCACTTGGCGGGTTTTACGCACAGCGCGCTACAGGATCTATACGTTCCTTTGTGCGTCACCCATAGGAGCGATGATCAAGTTTAAAAAAAAAAGAAAAAAGAAAAGAAAAGAAAAGGGGGCGAGGTCCTTGTATGGCTACTCATTTGTTCAGGTCTTACGCAAGAAGGAGGCCTTTTTTTCTGAAATCACGTGTGTCAGGAGGAACCGGAGCCAACCACTGGAGCCTGGACTGGAAGCAGTGACAGTGGAGGGGGAAAAAAAAGGTGGCATACTGTAGAATCTGAAACACTGCATTGCGTATACTATTGTCCAAGTCTCACTTTAAACCCACAATTCACACGCAAGACCTGCCTGTAGTGACTTATCCAAATACTAAACAGACACACGCGGCCTCGTTTGTCTCATCAATTAAAGAGAACTTGTTGATTATAAACAGTTGTGTCTTCAGGCCTCCAAACATTAGACCATCACACAGTCAGTGAGCGGTGCAGGAGCTGAAGTCAAAACACACACACGCACACACAGACCATAGTCTATAAACACTCATACATACGCACACTAGGCTCCCACAGGGGCGGGAAATTGATTTCGTTGCCTATAAAATGTTTGATTTGGACACTTTATGGCAACATTGAAATGTTTTTGCTTGATAAAGTGAAACAGCTCGGGCCCTCTCGTCTGACTGACTCTCGACAACTGGTTTTACACTGGACGCTAATCTCACACCTGACAGTCCCATTATAAATGTGGTAACAAAATTAACCAGTTAGGCGTGTGCGTTGTTGCCTAGCAACCACGATGTTTAGCTAGGTCTTGTTTGAGGACAAGCGATAAAGCCAGGCGGGACATAGGCCTATAGGACAGATAATAATAATAATAAATTATTAAATAAAATACAATAATAATAATTATTATTATCATAATAAAATTGCCTGGCAGAATGTGTATTTTTTAATAATACACTGGCCTATTTAATTGATGTTTTCATCTTAATGGAAATCATTAGGGTAATTTTACATGTATTCAGTCATGTGAAAGGCCTACTAGCTTTAAGGCGGGAGAACTGCCCAACATTAAAGAGCTACATCGTTTAAAAATATATATATTTTTATCATATTGTAACATAATTTGCACTCACCCAAACCCTGAAGGAAAAGCCCCACAGGCCTGTGTTTTAATAAACTAACAAACTACAATAACTCTTAATCCTCTTTAGCGCCTTTCTACGGAATCATTGAAATCATGTGGCCTGCTGGATGCCGTGTCTAACCTGTGCTACTTTCACGACAGCTGAGCAGGTTTGAGGCAGTCTCCCTGCCGGCATCAGTGTGGTTACACCGGGACACTGAGTCCCTCACAGGGCCGCTCACTCATTATGCGCGCTGCGCTCTCTCCGCTTGTAAATCTCCGTCCGCTGCAGATAAGAGGCAGAGGCGGCCGCTGCCTTGACTTTAATTACATTGTCAACAGAGAATAATTGTAATTGATTTCTGCTCCTCTTCCAGACTCCGCTGAACACACGGACTGACAGTGTTACACACGCACACACAGGTGCACACACGCGCGCACGCACGTACGCACGTCATGCCAAGTCTCCTAGTTTTGATTCTCACGAGAAGCAGCAGAACAGCTGCAGAGCTTTGCACACATGCAGCAAAATACAGGCCACAGGAAAGAGCTTCAATTGGTTTCTTCACTTTATTATTTTTTTTAAAGGCTTTTAATCGTTTTTGCAAAAGGCTCGTTGCGTCTTTAGAGAACCACCTTCACAAACCGCCTGTGTTTGATTTGACTAAACATTTGTCTCAAATTCCGGTTTTTATTTGGAGCTGAACTAACCGCCTCGCGGATGTGGTTTCTGGGTGTCTCCTCGTGCTCGTTAATTACGTGCAGCTCGTGTAATTAATTGATCACTCCCGCTGTCGCCTGAGTGATAAGAAACCGCATCCATCTGAGGCGCCTGGAAAGCAGTGATTCAGAGGAGGAGGTCATCCAGAGGCCCACGGCTCCCCTCATCATCATCATCATCATCATCATCGTCGTCGTCGTCATCGTCATCAGTCCTGGGTGACAGAGGCCTCACTTTATAATTCGTGTTTGGCCTTTTTCTCAAATCAGGTCGCAATTAGGTTTCCTAAAGGTGTTCAGGGTGTAGGCCAGTAAGGGGCCACCCCAAAGAAACACCCTAAACAACCTAAAAATAAGCATTTGAATCTTTTGAGGAGGTTATAAGTAAAGTGAAACAAAATGCTGCAAAGATTTTTGACTTTTTATATGATAAATAACAATATGTTTCCGTATGAATGAGCCCGGAGACACAAAACTGACTTTCACTATGTGCCTTTAAAAACATGACACAAATAACATCATCAAGGCATCTAGTTAAAGACAGCTGATATCAAATACTACAAAATTTAAAAAAATCAGTTTCAGCTTTAAAACAGTTTTCTGTTATGTGACAGAACATGTCAAGCAAGCACAGCAGAAAAATGTCTAACAGCTTGTAAGCCTTTTGAAAAGTCTGCGTAGATTCATCTCAGGTAGAAAATGAAACTTGGAAAAATTCATTGGACTTTGGTTGAAGAGCTGATAGGACAGCTCACATCTTTTCCCGCCTGTTCTTTTGAGCATACATGATATTTTGTGTTGTATATACGCAGACTGGACTGTACTGATATAACAGAGACAGTAGAAATACATGAGAAGAGGTGACTGTCAACTCATGTGTGAGACAGGCAGTCAGCTCCTCTCTGCTCCTCCTCCTCTTCCTCCTCCTCCTCCTCTGCCTCACAGGGGGCTACACTTCTCTCACAGTCCAGGCTTCATCATCTCAGGCAGAGAAGGAAGGAAAAAATCTTTAATTGTAAGCAGAGTTGCTCAATGAAGTATGTAAAGAGGCTTCAGTCAGCCATTTTTTTTTAAGCTTAAATTCATTTTGCACTGTCCCAGTAAACTCATGGAAGATGGATGACGCCTGCGGCGAGATCTCACACAGCTCAAAGTGGGACAATAAGGAGGAGAATTAAGAGAAATACTTGGCAAAAGTACAAAATCTCTTTAACAAAGAGGTGGCAGCCGATTCCTCTTCATGTTTTTTTCCTTTTATTGGACATTTTGATCAGGCAGGGATGCATGTGAGTATCGGTGCATGATGAGAGCGGTCTAAACCACTTCCTGTGAGTGCGGTTTTTCAGGTCTAAAGACATTTAAGGTTAAGACTGGATTTAAAAGGGAAACGTTTTTAGACTTATAGGTTTCATTTAACTGACTGTATTTCAGTGTGTAGCTGGGACCTGCTTCAGACTGAAATAGAGTCAGTGGACTGCCCTTGAAACAAGGATCATATGTAACCTAGAAATGTAAAAACTTTACTTTTCATTTGACCTGCAGATCACCAAAATAAGAGCTTTCCGCAGTTTAATTGTGTTACCATATACTTGATAGAAGAAGCTCACACGCAGGAAATATCACTCAACATGTTTTTTATTCCAAGGCACAGAAACAATTCTAACATTTCAATCATCAAAATCAAGTGTTTAATTTAATCCTACTCCCACATTTTGTGAATACATGAATTGTCAATAAAAAAAAAAGTGGGCTGCATGTTCTGAATGTGGTACCGCATGATGGCTGACGTTATTGCAGGCTGTAAGTCTGCTTCCTGTCTCGGAGGTCAAAGGTGACCAACAGCGAGCGAGGATCCTTCTTGTTTTTACGCACCGTGATCTTTCCCCGGAGCTCCTCCCCTAATGAAGACAGCAAAGAGAGAGATGACACCGGCGTTAACGGCAGTGCACGGTTTTGTTTTACGTTGAAGACCGGCAATCACTTCACTGGTCACAAATATGTCATTTATATTTTAAGAAAAACCTCAGTGATGTCATGAAACAGCTGGACACTCTAGGTTTTAGTAAGTGTAACTCAAACAGGACTAAGTAGAGCATTTGTTGGGAACTATCTTCAGCTGTGGATTAATACACATTTGGAGAGCTAATGCAGGAGTGTACATTGTCTTGACGCATTCATGGTAATGAAAGAACATGTCAAACAAAACAACAGTGAATTGACAAATTATTTAAACATGTATGTAAACTTATTCACGTTTCCCCATTCACTTTTATCCCAGTGGGTGGATTTCGTTTTTGTTCCCGTTAGAGAAAGTTTAAGTAAATAAAACTGCTCTTCATTCATTCCCCCTGATGTCCATGACCATAATTTCTCCGTCTTTATATCAGAAAAACATCAAAAGGCAGAAAACAATTTCACCGAGTCAGACATCGATCAGCGTGTTCGTAAAGAAAGGGAAATGAATAACTGCTCATAAAAGGAAATCTTCCTGATGCCCTGCAGCAGCACAGTGCTGCTGAGCTCAGGCCTCTGCAGCATGAGCGGAGACGCACTGGCGCTTATAGAAATGATGATGTGTGTAAAGGGGACGTGGTTTAATGTATGTTAATAAGCAGGATTGTGTGCGAGTGTGTATGTGTATGAGCAGACCTGCTGAAACCTCCAGATGGCGGCGAGGAGGAAGCGCGTTTACAGTACGACGCACGAGCGACTGGGAGGCCGGGAGAAGACGCTGATGATTATGACGCATAACCATTCTGATTAACTTCACGTTTGATTGCTGGAGGTAAACGAATGTTTATCCAAATGGCAAACAAGCATCCTCTCACCCCCCTCACTCCACCTCCTCCTCCACCTCCCCCTCTCTGAGCGCCACACGCTCCTCATCGCTGGAGGTTAGAGGAGGACGAGGAGGGAGGAAAATGCTGACTGTGGCGCTGTCTCTAGCGAAGTGTCCGCCATCACTGCTGCTGTCACGTCTCACTCGTTACCATGCCAACGCCGCTGTCATGGAGTCCGCTGCTGGCTCTGGGTCTGTCACTCCACTGCAGAAACGGCTGGAGCATTTACACTGTGGGTGTTTTTCCAACCACAAGAACCAGAAGATAACAACTGAACAAGAGCTGAAGTCTAAAGGAACATCAGGACATTTTCACATCTGGCTGCTGAACAGAAAGTGCTGTTGTTGGTGAGGTGCCAGACTCACCAACAAGCATGGGTGAAAACTTTACAAACAGCATCGTAAACTGCAAAATTCATAATGTTACAAAGTCCTTTGCAGCATTTAAAGCCAACAAGTGACCAAGCCAAAGACATGCAAACAAGCAAACAACAAACAAACAAAGCACAGCCTGAGTAAACCACTCTACAGTCCTAACAGAAAAATGAGCATGATCCCCTTTAGTGCTGGTTCTGGACATTGGGACTGTTAAGGCGGATCTCAGGCTGTGATCCACCTCGTGGAATTTGCAAATCCTATGATATAACTAGGAGCCACGGTCTTCAGGGTAATCAGAAACACACTATTCAGTGTAAATGTGACCCGTCCCGCCCCCTAGGTCATGTTTGTCTTTGTCTCATATTATTCATTCACTGTTTCCTGCTTTATTTGTAATACTCGTCTTTCCTCTCGTTTCAGATCATTCACTTCCTGCCCTTGCGTGTTTCCCGCCCTGATTTGTTTCACCTGTCCCTCATTACCCTTCCCCTCCCTTGTGGATTTAATCTGTCTCAGTGCCAGTTTGTCTTTGTACCGCATGTCAAACCTTCCAGCTTTTTTCCCCAGTGTTGAGTGCTTCCGGTTTCACTGATCTCTGCCGCTTTACCTGGACCTCACCTTCATCTTAGCTCCGCCTTCGCCCTCGACTGACCTCCTGTGTGCTGAACTGCTTGCAGGTAAAGGCCTGTTTGTTTCAGTTGTTACAGCAAAGGTACTAAACTATATCATGTGACCTTCCTCCCTAACTCTAGTGAGGAGCCTTGCTGCTGCATTAAATAAGCTGAGGTGGGAAATGGATTTAAAGTTACAGTTAATTTAACAGATTTAATGACTTTTTCCAAGATCAGCAGAAGAAAGTTAAAAAGAAAGTTAAGAAGTCTTAACAGTTCCAATGTCCAGAATCAGGACTGAAGGGGGTCAAGCTCGGGCGTTGGAACAGCCTGCCTCTCTTTCACATTCAACAAGGAAGTTTTTCTTTGGCTGTGATTCATTAATGCTGGCGCCTTCAGATGACAGGAACCACAGTGAGATTTGTAGCTCTCTTATATCTAGTAAAACACTGTGTGTACACTGACCAGCAGCATTTACTGTAGCCAACGGACAGAAATGTTGCGCGGCCAGAAAAAAGACGTCGCCTCTTATAAGAAACTAAAAAGACACTGTTCTGTCCCCACACTCCATCACCAACTTAATGAACTGAATCAGTGGTCAACACCATGGACGCAAGACGACCCAACTGCAACAGAAAAGGTCAATAACACACACAAGTCTGTTTATCGTGTGGCTAACACTGGTGATCTCAGTGTAAAGGGTGATGTGTCGCCTGTCTGCATCTGACTTATAGGATTCTGACTGAAGACTCAGATCTCCGCAATCTAAACCTGAAAAACAGAAATCCACGGGGATCAGCTGGTAGTTTCAGTTCCTCTTCCTTCAGGCATCTCTCCTCCCAGATTTCAGGTGGCGCTCAACCTCATGCAGATCTCCCGAAAGTAGCCAACGCAAAAAACCAAACAGCATCTACAGTGGCTTCAGACCCCTTCACTTTTTGCTTACCTTGTTTTAAACAGATAAAATTGCCACTTTTACTCATTAATCTCCACTCAATATCCCATAATGAGGAAGTGAAAACATGTTTTTAGAAGGTTTTGCATATTTTAATAATATAGCAAAGGATCTGAATACTTTGGTAAATGAGAGTTATTAAAATAGCAGAAATTTCTGTGGCATTGTGGGTTCCTGATTGAGGGGAAAAATGGCAATTTCATCCATTTAAAATTATAGTATATTTATAACACAATATTGTGAATTTCCAGATACATTCCCATTAATGTCAATGAAGACAAAACAAACAAAAACTTTGCTTTGCTTTCACTCATTTTTATAGGAAATGACACAAGGAGCCTCAATTCCTCACTAGCTGTAGTCTGGTTAGAGCAGCAGAGCCTGGTGCTCATGGGAGGCAGCGGGTGGCTGCAGTCAAACCAATGAAGTTCAAAGAAATAATTGCTTGACCTTTGCTAACCTTTTGTTAAAACAGAACTGACAGAGAAAAAGGGGTTTGGGACAAAAGACGAAAAAAAAAAAAAACTGCGACCAATGCTCCAACTCCTCCCTCATGTTTCCGATTAAACTATTGAAACATACAAGCGCCGACGGAGTGTCTGTTCCGTCGTGGTGCGACTGCAGCAGCTCGGCTGTAATCAGTCAGACCAACCTCCCCGTGGAAGAGGGCCACGGTGCCTTCAGTAAACTGGCCACTCAGATGCTGGGAGAAAGAGTTAACCATGTGTGGAAATGAGTCGGGGAACGGAGCCGGGCTTTCACCACAGTGTCGTACATCAACATGCCAGTGTCATTACGCACAAGCAGGCCCACAGAAACAGCCCATCTCAGCCCAGCGCAGTCTTTCTCCATGAAATTACACTGGAAATACACGGCTCGCATTAGCGATTCATTTAAACTGTTGTCATTTACATTTTAACCACTTGGCTCACACTCACTACAGTGTCTGCAGCTCCATACAGCGAGAGCAAGAGTAGAGTAAGCTGCAGTGCTTCAGTACTACGACTCATCATTTTCAGTTTTCACAGAAAATGCCCAGAGAGAGGACTGGTCCGACCTGATCTTTACCTGGACTTTATGTCCTTATGAAAGCAAAGCTTGGGGAGTTGAAAAACATTTCTCCTGAGTGGCGACTTGTGATAATCAAATTTTCAACTAGATTTTTAATAATTAACGTGAATACAGACACATTCCCAAATGTTTAAAAAACAAATAATTTGTATAATGACCCCACAGGAGTGGACTACTCTCATACAGAACTGCTGACTTCCACACTGCAGTGACGCTCTCCCCCTATTCTCAGGCCTCTCCTGCTCAGTGCAGAGCTAAGAAGCAGAGCTGATGGGTTGTATATCCCCAGCACCACCGCAAACACAAAAACCAAGCCGTCGTTTGAATTATAGCCCTGAAGAACTTGAAGTTTGGCTCGGCCGCTGCTGTTGGACAGCTCAAGGACCTTCAGAGTTCAGACGAGCGGGGGGAAGCGTGGAGGGGTAGAGGTGTTTAAACTGTGTCTGGACGGATGAGGGCGGGGGAAAAGAGGAGATTTAGAAGAAGGTACAACACAACTCGGAACAGAGGAGGTGAGTCATGAAAGTGGGTGGGAACAAAGACCACCTGACCGTCCAATGAAAGCCCCGACAAGGACGCACGCCCATGTTTCAGCTGCTCTGAGCGGCCCTCTGCACAGGTAACCAGGGCACCGCCTCACCTCGATGACCAAGGGACGAAAAAAAAGTGTGACCTCCTTTCTCCGACGAACATTAAGTAGGTAAAACTGTGAAAAAGGAACCTCCTCTTCAATACCGGAGCTACACAAACACACCGGAGCATGACAAATGATTCGCTGTTTAATTTATTACGCTGCCAGGCGGGAGGATTTGCAGGGATGTTTTGTTCCAGCCGGCTGCGTGCGTTCTCCCTCTTCCACCGGCACCTCCCACAGAAGCGCAGCCACAGAGTTAATTACTGCTGCACTCGTACAAACACATCAAATAGGATTCGGTCTCTGCCACAATAAATCACCACAGACAGACTCTGTATTAAAACAAACCACTGGATGTTTATGCCTGGCCCTCACTACAGCCAATCAGAGCTGAAGGTGCTTCTCAGTCAACACCCAGGAGGAGAGGCCGCTGTGTGTGTGTGTGTGTGTGTGTGAGAGAGAGAGAGTTTTGTCATCTTCAAGGTGACTTTAGGAGGTTTTTTATAATAGCCAGAGGGAAGTTTAGTATAGAAGTATGCAACATCTCTTGTGAGTTTGAGTGTGTAAAGGAGCAGTGTGTGTTGTAAAGTACACCATAGGAGCATAGCAGGCAGCCGGTGAATGCTGTTAAAAACTCCATTTCTGGTTTACGGCCCCTGGAGGAGGCTGGGGACCGTCAGGGTGCCAGGGTAGAGCGAGCACATCAATAACTTGCTGCTCACTCTCTCTCACCCCTGCCTTTATTTTCTTCTTCCCTTAAACTTTTTTTTTCTGCTCAAACTGCTTGGTTCACACACACAGCGCACTGCCAGACTGATGGCGCTTTATCGACTCCACGTTAGTTTAAGCTACACTCAGCTAGATCAGAACGGGCTGGTTCTGAGCTCAGGCTGTGAATGTGTGTGTGTGTGTGTGTGTGTGTGTGTGTGTCTTGGTTAATGCTGTCACATGTCACTATGCTCCCAGGTTACCCCCGAGAGCCCAGATACTCCCTGCTGACTGTAAAATCAGGCACAAGGTTAAAAAAGACAGAGGGAGAGGAAAGGAGAAATTGTTACGTCTAAAACTAAAGTCTGGTGGCCTCTAGAGGCAGCCATGTTTATTACACAGCACAAACTGCAAACTAATGATTTTGGAGGGGTTCATGGGGCTGTTGAAACTTCTCGACAAATTATCCCAATCTTCCTGTGGATTAAGTAAAATCCATCCATCCATTACCTGTACCCACTTAACCCAAACCTACGGCAGCACTCATTGGCCGAGAGGTGGAGCACATCTACACAAGTCACCAGTCTGTCACTATCGCCCTTCACACGAACATTTGCACCCACCAGTAATATAGTGTTTGCAATTCATCTGACCTGAGTGCGAGAGGAAACTGCAGGACTGGGAGGAAACGCATATAAACACAGAGAGGAAATACAAACTGTGCAAGCCGGTGGATTTTTAGCCTTAAGGTGGAGTGCTCAAAATGGGTTCATCTTCATGGGAGCATGAAGCATAAGGTGCTCAGTAAATGCCATGACAATCTGCAGAGAAAAGTTCAGCGGGGCACGGAAACAGTATAATTCATCCTGTGGGAACTTACTGGTATTCATTCAGTTTATCTTGAACACTGAATACAAAAAAAAAACAAAAAAACTGTTACACATTTACCCCCGAAAAGAACAAAATACACTTAAAACCGAATGAGGGGGCAAATCAGGGCTTCCAGGTTTAGCACTGTGGCATGTGTATGTATGTACAGTACATGCAGGTGACAAGGCAAAGGAAAAAAATTACAGTAACCACCACAACCTGCGAGAATTGCTTCACTGCTCCGATTAACACATTGTTCTAAAAGATATTCCCTCCTTGTTGTTATGGTGATGACGGAGAAAAAGCACAAACACACTGGTCCAAAATCCCTCATAAGTTTTCAACTGGGTTCCACTGCTCTGAGACGTGAGAAGGCCAAAGCATCAAAGCATATGATTCATTTTCATCTCCTGTACATGTACGCATGTGTGTCCGTGAATGTACACACACACACACACACACAAAGTGAAATTCTGCACCAGATCGTCTGAAATCTGTCTTTGTTTGGCTCTGCAGTTTCCTACCTCTGCTCACTGTTAACATAATGTGGCCCTCAGCTCTCACATTCTGCTGCATTTATCTGACTCAGCGGAGCGCGAAGACTGCGATAGCGTTTGAGCGGCGTCAGAGCTTTCGACGTTCTTATCGTCCTGGCTGCCGCCGACGGGGGCTGAGCACGGCTAAGGGCCGTCGGACATCAAGCGCTTCCGTCCCTCTGCAGGTCATTTATTACAGTGGACTCCATCAGATATCTGGTCAGCGAGCGGACAGCTGGCCCCCGAGGCTCATCCATCCTCACGTCAGCGGACACATCCGCGATTCCCATTATGATAACGCAAACAGGGGGCCAGAGCTTACAGTGGTAATAAATACAGGACCATTCTCAAAACCACCAACACAAAAAACTATAAGTTTGCCACAATCAAAGATTCATAACAACAGCATCATACACAGATTACTCCTGTATTTAGTTAATGAAAGCTCTAACATTTAGTGATCTAAAGACCCAGGCTCAGAGACGTGCTTCCTGGGACAAATCCTCCTGCACACATGAAGTGGCTGAACAGATGAAGACCAGAAAGCTCTCTCAGGTGAAAAGGCACTAACTTTTGGGACTCAGTAATGTTGGCTACACGGTCATATCCATGTAAAGTTTGCTAACATTAGCCGCCATAAGCTACTGATCATACAGACCAAGCAAGACTGAAGCAGCAAAACCTGAGTGTATTAAACCGAACAAAGGTGCTTTTTAATTATTAGCTGCATTAACTTATCAGGTGTGAGAGGACTCAGTTTCTTTTCTTTAAAAGTTAGATAGCATAAAGTTCAACGTGTCTACAGAACAGAACCGCTAACAGTGAAATATATCAATATCAGAACAAGGCCGTTGTGATATTCATATTTTCACATGTCACGTCTTTGGAGCAAGTTATTTCTATGGGAGATTCATGGGTGTTGGACTCATGACAGTGTGAAAGTAGCATGCAGGTAATTCAGTGAAGACATGGATGCACACATGGTTCTCGTGCGTTCAGTCATGCACGCACGAGGATCCACTCAGACCCTCGCAGATGTCGATACACACCATGTTTGATTGCATTTTTATTGTACAGTACAACGCTCATCACCACAAACAAACACCAGTATAAATAACTCATCAAACCAACAATGGCTTCTCATACTGGTGTTTAAGTGAGGGGAATGTGGTGAAAGTGTATAAAATGCTCCATTTAGGTTCGAGACGAGACGATTAGATTAACTGGTTGGCAGCGCCACTGCTGTATGATCTACTCACTACAGTAAAAACACATTGATAGTCGGTTGATGACATTTTCACTGCAGACCAACGGCTCTGAGGTGAACTGCACAGACAGCGATACGAGACGCTCCGTCATGTTTGCTGGAGTTTGAACCTGCGGAACGATATTCCCGAGAACATCCTCACAGCTACGCCTCACAGCAAGCTGCACCGGCTAAATATTACTGGAATCTGCTAATACAGTGATTCTATGAATATTTCTCTGGTCAGTTACAAAGTGCTTCTCTTGTAACGTGTCATGATTCAGAGGCCTGCAACCGCCTATCAGATGAAGTTTTACATGCCGTCGCCGATGGCTGAGTGTGATTTGTTTTGATCTCTCGCTGTCTCTGTGGGTGACAGATAACGGGTGTCAACCAGCCTGACTACATCTCCACCACAGACAGATTACCTGCTGCAGCGGGCTACGACGCACCACCGAGATCCTCGGGAGGAAAATCAAATCACGAGAGAAAGCAACACAAATCGAAATGAAGCACAAAACTGAACTTGACCACTCATGCCAACCTGAGAAAATGTACATGAGAGTAGACAGTCGTACTAAATCTTACAGCTTCCAAGTGTTTCGTGGCCGTGCGGTGGTCTGTGTGGTTACTGACCTGCTTGGACAGGAACAGGCTTGTCCAGTAGGAAGACAGTCTGTTTCCAGTGCGTCTTTGTGACCTGAGGACCTGTGGAGAACATCACCTGGTGCGATAGTAAGTGAAAAGAAAGAAAGAACAAAAATATCACAAACCGGTTCTGTTGATTCCATCTACACTGCTAGTCAGCAAAAAAAAAAAAAAAAAGAAAACAACTTTTGGATAATTAAGGAAACAAAATCTGTTTATAATCAATTTAAACTGATTTACTACTTGGAAAAAAAAAGTTCTGGGTATGTTACAGTGAAAATCTATACGAGGCTTAATTTGAGTTTATGGGAAACCATGCTAGTCACATTCATGTTGTTTAATGTGAGTCCATCCTCAACAGTGATGGAAAAGAAAAACACAAAGAAACAAGGAGAACTATTAGCTTTGTCTGTATTATAAATGACACTTATATCTTTACTGTTTTTATTGTTAAATTGTTCCAGCCTTAGCTCCCAGCGGAGATGGTATCTTTCCTGGCCAGTCTGTAGCATGCAGTTTGACTCTCAGGTACAATAGGAAGTGCAATCAAAAGGCATGACTGTGTTGCTCACAGAGCTTGGCACTGGCTGTTCCGACTGGCTGGCTCTGCTGGGTAAGTGCTTATATCAGCAGTGGACTAGGACTGCCTGTCGATTGCCGGCGAACGCCTCGGGGAGGAGGAACATGCTAAAGCGTGAACATAATTGAGTTTCCGTTAAATGGCCTGGCTGTTGCCGCTGCTGCTTACCTTGTTGCTGCAGCCTCTGTCAAAGAAAATGTCAAAGTAGCCGACAACCGCCTGCAATGAAATATGAGGGGCGTGTTAGAATGTGACAGTACAATAAACCCCTGGATTTGTTTGACTACACCGCAGCTCTGACGAGCAGGAGGCAGAACGAGTCTCAGGGTTTTAATGGGCAAAATGAGCCGCTGCGTTCAGGAATAAGGCAGTAAAAACCAAACTGGAAAGAAAATTTACTGTTCAAGTATTTACATTTATCTTTAAGGTACTGCTCCTTTATGGTGTTACCTTCGAGGAGGCATAAGAATTCAGACTCTTGTTTGCTCTGCATCACGCGTCATTGTTATGTGTGTGTGTTAAGTGTGTATCTGTGGTCTGCTCAACTGTATGGGCCGCCCTGTTACAGATACAGTGAGTATTAATATGACTCATATGAGAACTGCACTCTCCTCCCTCTCAGAGCCGACTTGGTTTCTCATTTAGGCTGAGTCAACAACACGTCCCATGTGCTCCCTCTCACCTCATCTGGGAGACTTGTCACCGGACAAAAGAAATAAATTATGAGGCAGCCGCCAACAACATTGAGGCAATTTTGCTGACAATAAAAAAAAAAAAAGAAAAAAAAAAGAAAATCCAGAATGGATCATGAAATTAGCAAAGGTGGTCATTTTTGGTGACAGTGTTGCAGCAATGTGAAAAACACTCAGCAGGAAAATAAACACTAATGTGGTTTTGGTCCAAATGAATATGGATTTGGGCTCATCTGAATAATGCCCAACAGGGGAAAGGATATTAGATAACTGACAAATCTCTGCTCTCAGGGAATCCATCCTTATGTTGATACGACCAAAGAAGAATAAACTCCCAAGTCTGAGGTTTCATCAAGGCTTTTTTTAAAATTTTTTTTTTAGGTCTTAGATGTGACCAGAAATGACAGACTCCTTTTCCTTCACATTGGGTATTCAACTGACTGAAATGTAGTCTTTCTTTTACAATATCCTGTCTGCTGGTGAGGATTTGCAGAGCTATGAACACATTTGAGTGAAAACCAATTCACACATCTTAAAAAAACAAACCGAGGGGAAGTCTAGGGCCAGAGCGCCTGTAGGTGACCGTTGTCAGATATGTGAGGTAAAAACCACCCCCCAGGCTTGTTTTCCTCCCATTTCTCCCCCCACTGGAGGAAGAGAGGCACTCTATCAATCTCAGGAGCGCACTTGTAGTGGCAATGATGCAGAACTAATAGCTTTTAATCCTGACGCAGCTGACAACTTGGAGGCCAGCTCTCCGAGACAAAGAAGAGCCGAATCAATGCGGGAGAGGGAAAGAGGGAAAGAGAGGGCAGATGAGAGGAAAAGAAGAGGTAAAAAAACAAAACAGGAAAACAGACAGAAAGAAGACACAGGGAAAGTTGAAAGGGAGGCAAGGAACAGGAGAAGGAAAGGAGCTGTAGCATTATATAAAAGCTGGGGAGGAGGTTTTTTCTAAATTTGTTTGTATCACTTGGAGAAGCATCAGCACCATCTGTTCACAGCTTCTGTAAAAGTCTCCAAATTGTATTTAAATCATTTTTCCTGGTGAAACTGGATAAAAGAAACCTTTTTTTTTTTTTTTCATAGTGCAGCTACATACAGTGCACACACAAAGATACACACATGCAGACTTGGTAATCATGATGCCGTCAGAAGCCGTGTTCAACACACTCTCCGCACAGAGGCTTCAATCAGCCTTTATCGACTCCGACAGGCGGGGGCGGCACCGCTAGCTCACAGCTAAACCGCCAGAAAAGAACCGAAAGAGGATAAAAGAGCATGTCACCCCAATGCAATTATGGCTTTTAATGAACGCTACAGAGACGCTTGGTGCTGAGGTAATTAGGAAATTAGCCATAATTACTCATCAGGCAGAGCGGATTCACCTCTCTCAGCCGGAGAGGCAGAGATCATCCTCATCGTTCCTCGCCGATGACAACGCCTCGTAAGCGAGATTGATTGTCACTTCTGCCTTGTGCAACTTTCACACCGCGGTGAGATGAGCAATTAAAATTTAGGCCACAGAGTGAAACTTACAAATACAAAACCGGTGGAGAAGATCGGCGCCATTAAAATCACATTTGAAAGAAAAAAAAAAACAAAACAGGAATGTAATAGCCTCATACATAAAACACAAAAGATGTGAGTGTTCGGATAGACAAAGACCTTGATGACCTGATATCTACTGTACCAGAGGCTTTTAATACTTTCTGATTCAAACTGTGCTGGGGGAAGAGAGTTTTTCAAACTTCTTGAGGCCCTTTGAAAGGACTTAATGATAGTTTTTACAACAGCCAATAAAACGGTACAGCTAGATCCAAACTTAAACTCCAGATGGAGACTGAAGGAGTTTCTGTTTATGTTCATCTTCACTTGATAAGAATTAAAACACCGTTAAAAAGTTATGTTGTTGTCTATTTACGCATACAGCACAACATTATCATCTATTCAGTCGTGTTTCTGTCCAACTGATGAATTTAAGTCCAATAATGAATCTTCTTTTAGCTCTGTTTTGGTCTCCATCACCTGCTGAGACAAACATCTGGCTCTTTAGCTGCTACATGTTCTACTTTCTTTACCATCTAGTTGCCAACTCAGTCCAACTGAGTGTTAAGCAGGTGTACAGTGGCTTCATCAGAGCTTGTTTACCTAACTTCTAGCAAAGGGTCGCCGCCTGTTTGCTAGAAAGTAGGTTGATAAAAGTTCTTCTTAGACCGAACAAAACAGAAAATCATCTCAATATAGTTCTACATCTATCTCGCTTCTCCCTGCAGCACTAGCAAGTACAAGGTGTTTTGTTTCAGTCTATGAGCCTCTCCTCTTATAGGCTGACCACAGGTAACAGATCGTAGCCTGGTCAAATTCAGATTAAAATGCTCGGGAATTTCAGAAAAACAAAGTATAGCCACTGTTCTCTACCATTACTATCTGTACCATCTGTGCAATGATATATTGGCTTCCTGACGTCCAACGATTATGCAGCGTTTTCCTCCAACATTTTTCTGTCTTGTAGCTTGCCCTCTTAATGACAGAATGACTGCTTGGTGTTGTGTTTTTAATTAAGTTAAAACAACACAAAAACAATGGACGGTGGGTTGGGGTGGGACACGCTGGAGGCATGGCAGAGGGCGGTGACTATATAGTTGTGACATCACAAAGTGACGGAAGTCCTGACGGCTTGTTTTAAGGCTCAGTGTCTTAACACAGGCTGTGTGCATTTTGAAACTTTCAGTATTTATATGGCAACTACATCTGTTTTATAACCAAAAAAAAGGACATGGAATAATATGGGACCTTTCATGTTAATATCAAAAATATTGATTAATGCAGTCTTGATTGTAATATTGATCTTAAATTTAGAATAATCAGAAACTTAAATTAAAATCTGTGTTTGATTATTTTAATGGAAACAACCCCCTGCTGTTATGTTGTACCTGACAAGTAATTCCTCTGTATCCCAGTACATGGGGGCAATAATGGGAGGGAGGGTTAAGGAAGTGAGCGAGACGGACAGAGAGACGAGGGCAAGGAAGAGAGGGAAAGTTAAAGCACACAGAGAGAAAGACACACACACACACACACACACCAAAAACAGGACAAATCAGAATGAGCGCTTTTCATTTTCATCAGCGTTTAGCCTTGGGCCCTGGCTCTGTCTGTGATAAGTGATGACAGTGGGCTTCTTGACAGCCCACGGAGGAGGCTCCGCAACACTGCAGCTCTCCGGCCCCCATTCTCCAGGAAGAGCAGTGGGAAAATTAATAATTATCATCATGGATAACACCAACAGGGAGCAATTCATCATCGCTCCCCTTTCGCCTGGCTGTGTGTCAGCGAGCCGCGTGGCCCGGCCAGATACTATTATACAACAGTGGGGGGACGTACGGAGGGAGGTGGGGTGGGGTGTTAAGGGGAGGGAATGGGAGGAGCACTGAGGGGGAGGGAGGGTGGGGGAAGAGAGGGCTAATGCGCTTTTGATGGGGTTTATCCAGGCGTGGAGGCTTCAAGCACGACCACATTGTGGACGGGTTGGTGTGACCCCCCCCCCCACCTCCTGTGTCTCTCCTCCCTGCCTCTTCGTCCGACTGCTGCCTCTCTAGTCAGGTGGAGCACGGATCAGCTTTGGCTGCAGCGCTCCTCTCATTGGTGTTCCTCACTCATGTTGCGTCTCAGACAAACAACTCTACTGTAACAGTGAGAGGAAGGCCCAGAGACGAGCTGTGCAAAGCTACCTGCAGTTAGCTGCATCACTGAGCTTTGATCAGGTGATGCACACACCAGAGGGAAATTCCACTTTTTGTCAGCCTGGCTCTTATTTTTCCTTATTCTATGACCACTGGTCATGATCATTTTTACTCACTTTTTACTTTCTGTTGCAGAGATTTGGGAAATGTAAACTCTGTCGCAGCTGACAAATCATCACAAAAGCTTTGAGTGTTGCTCAGTAATGGAAAATAGGCCGCACTTTTATAGTCTTATTGACCACTCAAAGTGCTTTACGCTACAAGCCACATTCACCCATTCTGGGGCAATTCATAACTCAGTATGTTGCCCAAGGACTGGAGTAGCCGGGAATTGAACCACCAACCTACCAAATTAGAGGGCTCGACCTCCTGAGCCTCCAAACCTCCATTTTTTGATTTAGTTAGCGTGGATAAAGCTTAACAAAGAGCAGCAAATGCAAGAAGCTGGCTTGTGTCTGCAAGTCCTGAAATTGCGAAAATAAAATGAGCAGGTATGCTCTGTGCAATCTTCATCCACTGCCACTAAAAAATAAAGAAAACAAGGTCGATTCTCCAACAGCTGCTGTGCACTTTGCTACTGGAAAGTCCAGGTGATTACTTTCTGTTTACTTTTGTTTGGACTCAAGGAAAAGTTTCAGTTTCTGTTGCACTGAAGTGTTTTTGGAAAGTTGTTGATGGCTCACGCCCTTTCCCCCAGCTGCTCCATTCTTCCACGGTTTGTTTCTCAAATCTCTACAATGGAGTATGACAGAGCGTCACTCATTCCCTCACCAGTCAGGTG